CCCCCCCCCCTCCCCGAGATGTTTCCCTGCCTGGCTCTGGGTGACAGGTGGGCTCCCCTCTGCCCGCAGGGTCCCTCTGTGGAGGGGGAAGTCCCTGCGGCAGTCGCTGCAGGAGCACGGCTTGCTGCAGAACTACCTGAAGCAGCACCCCTACAACCCGGCCACCAAGTACTTCGCCACCAGCGCCTCCGCCGAGCCCCTGCAGAACTACATGGACGTGAGCATGGCGGGGCAGAGGGGGGATCCGCAGGGCCCCTGGCCCCTTAACCATCCTCCTAGCCTCTTACCTGACCCGCTAGCCCCTTATCCATTTCCCTAATCCATTGCCCATCCCACTACTCCCTTACCTGACCCACTAGCCCCTTACCCATTGCTCTAACCCTTTAACTCTTCCCACTAGCCCCTCACCCAGTCCCCTAATCTGTTACCTATCCCACTAGCCTTTTACCCATCCCTCTAAACCCCTCACCCATCCCAATAGCCCCTTACCCATTCCCTTAACCTGTTACCTATCCCACTAGCCCCTTCCCCATCCTGCTCGCCTTTCATCCATCCTGCTAGCCCCTTATCCACCCCGCTAATCCCTTACCCATCACTCTTTGGCAGAATGAGTACTTTGGCACCATCTCCATCGGTTCCCCAGCCCAGGAGTTCACTGTTATCTTTGACACCGGCTCCTCCAACCTGTGGGTGCCCTCCGTGTACTGCTCCAGCCCAGCCTGCAGTGAGTATCCAGTGGCCCTGTGGCCACTGGGCAAGGGGTGAAGGCAGGGGAAGCCCTGGGTTTGGCTAGGGAGGGGCTGGGAGCCAAGGGACATTGGGTGATGGGGGAAGCACTGGAGGAGCTTCCTCGGTCCCTGGGGGCAGGATGAACCATGAATCTCTCCCTCCCATCCCTGCAGCGAACCACAACCGCTTCAACCCAGCCGACTCCTCCACCTTCATCGGCACCAACGATACCGTTGAAATTGCCTATGGCACTGGCAGCATGACTGGCATCTTGGGCTACGACACCGTCACCGTAAGGCACCAGCCACCCCCAACCCACCAGAGTGGGGACACTAGGACACTGCCTGCCTAAACCAAACCCTTCTCCCTCTCCCTGACCAGGTTGCAGATATCGAAGTTCTCAACCAGATTTTCGGGCTGGCTGAGACCGAGCCTGGCGATTTCTTCTACTACATGCCCTTTGATGGCATCCTGGGGCTGGCTTTCCCGAGCATCGCCTCCTCTGGAGCCACCCCTGTCTTTGACAACATGATGAAGGAAGGCCTTGTTGCCCAGGATCTCTTCTCCGTCTACCTGAGCAGGTAAGCCCCAGCTGGAGCTGCCCAGCCCTTGATGAGGATTTTCTCCCGTTTCCCACCCACCGGGGCTTGCTCTGGCACTGTTCCCCAGCAGCACAACTTCCCGTGACTCCCGGGGAGGGGGCTCACCAGCGCCAGCAGTGGCACAAGTACAGGAGGATGGTGGCAAAGCCCCCCTTGGCGGTGGCACTGCCAGGGGCGTGGTGGCAGCCTGGGACCCCCACTTGACAGCTCCCCCCTTGCAGGAATGGGCAGAGCGGCAGCTTTGTCCTCTTTGGTGCCATCGATTTCTCCTACACCACCAACGGCATCTCCTGGATCCCCCTCTCTGCTGAAACTTACTGGCAGATCACCATGGACAGGTAATCCCAGCGCAGCCCATGGGCTTGGTGACACCCCTTGCCCTCCAGCTGCTCTTTTTGGGGGTGCAGCCCCTCGTCCCGTGCCCGGGAGCCTCACCCTGTGCCCCTCTCCCCAGCGTCTCCATTGGCGGGCAGATTGTCGCTTGCTCTGCTGGCTGCCAGGCCATCGTGGACACAGGCACCTCGCTGCTGGCTGTGCCCAACTCAGCCCTTAACAACCTCCTGAGTGCCCTCGGTGCCAGCTCCAACGGCCAGGTGAGCACGCAGGACTTACCTGTCCCTCTTTCCCCTCACTCCAAAAAGGCCATTGAATGACTCGAGTGTGTCCAGAGAAGGGCAACGGAGCTGGTGCAGGGTCTGGAGCACAGGTCTGCTGGGGAGCGGCTGAGGGAACTGGGGGGTTTAGTCTGGAGAAGAGGAGGCTGAGGGGAGACCTCATGGCCCCCTACAGCTCCCTGACAGGAGGGTGCAGAGAGGGGGGATGGGTCTCTTGAACCAAGGAACAAGCGCCAGGACAAGAGGGAATGGCCTCAAGCTGCCCAGGGCAGGGTCAGGCTGGCTCTGAGGAAGGATTTATTTGCAGAAGGGGCTGTTGGGTGTTGGAATGGGCTGCCCAGGGCAGGGGGGGAGTCCCCATCCCTGGAGGGGTTGAAGAGTCGGGTTGACCCAGCGCTGAGGGATCTGGTGGAGTTGGGAACGGTCAGAGTGAGGGTCATGGTTGGACTGGAGGAGCTTCAAGGGCTTTTCCAACCCAGATGATTCCAGGATTCTGTGACTTGGGGGACTTTTGGGGCTCTGCTGGGTGCCCAGCTGGACCCCGTGGCTGCTCCACAATCCCCACTACTCCCCAGAGTACGTGATCCCTCCTGAGGCATCCACTGACCCCGCCTTGTCCCCATTTCCCCCCCAGATCAACTGTGACGCTGTCAGCAGTCTGCCTGATGTTGTCTTCTACCTCAACGGCCAAGGCTTCCCTGTGCCACCCAGTGCCTACGTGATACAGGTGAGCATCCCGCTGAGGAGGAGGGGACTGAGGGGTCTCAGGGTGGGGGGCTCCAGCAGCTGATACCCACCATCCACTGTGTCCTTTGCTGCAGAGCGATGGGTACTGCATCCTCGCCTTCCAAGGCATGAACATTCCCACTGAGTCGGGCGAGCTCTGGATCCTGGGGGATGTCTTCATCCGCGAGTACTACGTCATCTTCAACAGGGCCAACAACATGGTGGGGCTGTCCCCACTGCCCTGAGCTGCGCCTTAGGGCTGGGACCAGGGCCAGGTAGCCCACCCCTCCGCCCTGGTGGCCCCAGCTTGGTGATTGGCATGCCTGACCCTTGCCCAATGCTCCCGTCCCCTCTTGCCAGCACCACCAAGCACAATAAAGCTGTAGACAAGCTCCCTTGTGTCACATCTCTCTGGGAAGGGCTGGCTCGGTCACCCCAGTGCTGCCAACACAGCCCTGGGTGCGGACCCCGGTTATGCTCTGCAAACCCCCCAACTGCAGCCCCAAAGAGCCCCAGGCTGCCCGGGCCACCAACCACAGCCCAGGGCTACTGCTCTCTGGCCATGCTGGGAGGTGGCTGTGGCTACTGGTGGGCAGGTGGGCCCGAGAAGCACCACAAAGTTGGGATCATGGCTATGGCTCTGTGGCTCTGCCAGCATCCCATACCCACTTTTTTTGAGGGGGACGGTGCCTGCCACAGCACTGGGTCCTAAATTGGTGCTGGGGGGGCAGAATTTATGCTGCTAAGCACCATCTTTCTGTGCTGGATAAACCCCCATGGCACTGCCAGGAGCCACAGCCCTGGTTTGTCACCGTCTCCCGGGGTAGAGCAGCCTCAACACCTTGCAAACATTTCTCAGGACCTGGCGCTTTGCTCAGGTTAAACCCCTGGAAAGTCTCAACTGGGAGTAGCCAAATTCTGGCACCAGCCCCCACCCCCCTCCCCCTCTTCAAATCTCTCTCCCCCCAGCTCAGCTCCACTCGGCCATGAAATCCCCAACCAGGCTCCTGCCATGGGGGCAGGACATATCTCTCCTGTCCCCAAATCCCGCTCAGGGAGGGCTGAACACCTCCAGCACTGCCCACACCATCCGGGGGCGGGCATACACCCCAAAGCCAACCCCCGCCCCCAGCAAGGAGAAGCCCCAGAGCTGGGCATGTGCAAGCAGGAGGAAGGGAACTGGGTATAAATACCAGGGTGACTTTATTAGGGGGAAAGGGGAGCGGGGGACACAGCTCACCCTCTCCTCACGCCAGGGGCGGTTCCCAGCCCAGGGGTGCGTGCTGCAAGTGGGGGCTGGCTCAGAGCACCCCAGTCTGGCCAGGAGCATCTCCCATCCCCCCATTCTGCACCCAGAGAGCCAGGGAGGTGCGAGGAGGGAGAGGGGAGGGGGGCTGGTCCCGCCCCTGGTCCTGCCATCGGCCCCCTGGGGCAGATGGGGTCCGTGTCCATGCACCGGTGGAAGTGGGGATGGTGTCACCCACCCTGTCCTGCTTGGCACCCCCTCCCCAGCCACCCACCACCCCGGGGGGGGCCTGGTGGGCCAGGCCTGCTGGTCCTGTAGATCCCCTCATCCTCCTCTTCTTCATCCTCCTCCTCACACCGTGACAGGCATACATGGCACCTGGGCCCTAGGGAACCGTGTGCCGGGGGCTCTCCCCGCTGGCCGGTGGCATGACAGAGGGATCCACATCTCCGGGGGGTCCCTGAGCCTTGGGGCTCGAGCTGGGGGTGCCTGTGGGGGCTGCGGCCTCCGAGGGTGTGTCGGGGGGCAGTGTGGCTGTCAGTTGGTGCCCAGGAGGGCTCAGCGTGGTTGAAGGGGGCTCCTCAGCCCCTGTTCTCCCCGGAGAGGGGCTGAGGGGGGGTGTGTTGGGGAACAGGAGCTGGGCCAGGCGGTGGCGGGGAGTCCAGGTCAATGGTGGGGGGCTGAGGGTGCTGGTAGGGGGGTCCTCATGAGATGGGGACAAGGACAAGTCACCACTCTGTAGCAGGAGCCGGACATCTGTGGCTAATGGAGAGATGCTTTCGGTTAGCACCCACCTCTCCCCTGGGACCCCCACCCCACCCCACCCTGCGTCCAGAGAAGGGCAACGGAGCTGGTGCAGGGTCTGGAGCACAGGTCTGCTGGGGAGCAGCTGGGGGAACTGGGGGGGTTTAGTCTGGAGAAGAGGAGGCTGAGGGGAGACCTCATGGCCCTCTACAGCTCCCTGAAAGGAGGGAGTTCCAGCCCTGATGATTCTGTGATTCTGGGGGCACCCAACGGCCCCAGCTGCATCCCACAGGGCAGGGAGGCCCAAGCCAAACTTTATCCCAGCGTCTGGGCATCCCTGTTACCTTGGCAGGGCGGGCAGCAGGCAGCGGGCAGCATGGCGAGCTCTGCGCAGGAGCGGGGACACAGCCTCTTCTCGCAGCTCACCTCACCGAGCTGGCAGCGAGGGGCAAAAATGGGGGTGAGCCACCCCCCGCCATCCCCTCTGCCACTGACACGGGCACCCCACAGGCACCCCACTCACCTGGCAGGTACAGCGGGTGCAGGGCTGTCCCTCGGGGGTGAAGGTCTGGCCGTTCACCACCTTCCTCCCCTGGTAGTTGCAGTCTGCAGGGAGTGAGGCAGCGATCAGTGGGTGGTGGTGGTGATGAGGGGTCACAAGGTGGGGGGACAGGACCCCCTGGTCCCCTCCCACCCCCTTTCCCAGCTCCTACCGTTACAGACAGGGCAGCACTCGCCCTCGGGGTGGAAGGGGTAGGTGCAGAAGATGGCACAGTCCACGGGTGAGCAGGCCACCGAGCCCAGCTGCGAGAGACGGGAGAGATGCACGAGGGCCAGGCATTAGCACCCGCTGGGGTGGGCTGGGGTAAAGGGGGCAGCCCCGAGACACCCGGGAGCTTTTTCCTGCAATGGAGGAAAAAACTGGGGCTCAGCCCACGGGGCAGGAGCCAAAAAAACCATCTCACAATCCCCGGCGCAGCCCTCACCAGGCAGATGCAGCTGAGACAGGGGTCCAGGACAGAGGGGAAGGTCTCGTTGTTGTAGAAAATTCTTCCCATGTAGGTGCAGCCTGCAGGGAGCAGAGGGGCACTTGTGGTCCCCAGGTGGTTTGGCGACCCTTGGGAGACCTCACTGCTTGAGACCAGGCTTGGTGGCTCTGGCTCTGCCAAGGACCGCAGGCAGGGGATGTAGAAGGAGGGTGCAGAGGGGAATGCAGAGGGGGGCACAGAGGGCCCAGCACCCCTCTGAAAAACACCCACCACCCCCATCACCTGCCGAGCAGTCGGGACAGCACTGCCCGGGGATGTGGATGGGGTAGGGACATGTCTCCACGCAGTCTGTCCTCTTGCAGCTCACCGAACCGTCTGCCTGCAGGGGAGAAGCACTTGACAGAGATCTTGGGCTGCCCAAAACCGCGGGGTTTAAAGGCCACGAAGCCGAGGAGCTGCCGGGTACCACGGCCATGAGCAGCCCGGCAGCCCGAGGGAAGGAGCGGGGCCAGGAGCCATGCACCAGGGCAGAGGCAGGTAGGAGGAGTGAAGCAGAGCAGGTTCTCATTCACCTGGCAGATGCATAACTCACAGGGATCGCCCGGAGACCAGATCTGTCCGATGGGAAACTCCACCCCGTTATCGTCCACAAAGCAACCTGGGAGTGGGGGGGACAGGACACGGGGGGACACAGACACCCCCAGCCTGTCACCCTCCTGCTGTACTGCTGCACTCGTGTGTGGTTGCCACCCTGTGCCCGCTGCCCACCTCCAAACCCCGTGGCTGTGCAGCCCCCCCAAGGCCCTGTTGTAGCCTGTGAACCCCCACATCCAGCTCCCCCACTTTCCCCTGCTCTCCCTGTCCCCAGGTGTCCCCTAAATTCCATCCTCCTTGTGCCCAGCTGTCCCCCACATCCCACCCTCCCTGTGCTCAGGTATTTCCAACCTCTCCCCTCTCCCCGTACCCCAGTGTCCCCCACATCTCGCCCTGTCCATCCCCAGATGTCCCCCACAGCCTGTCCTCCCTGTCCCCCAGCTGTCCCCCCATCCCACCCTGCCTGTCCCCCCAGTACACCCCAGCATGGTCTCACCAGCAGGGGGGGCCGGGGGGTCCCGGCAGGTGAAGCAGCACTGCCCGGGGTTGAGGTGCCGCTGGTGCTGCGGGCAGTCCAGCATAGGGCACGGGGTGAAGGAACACTCCACCTCACCCCCCTGGGGACATGGGGACACGTCACCCATGGGGACACGTCACCCGCTGGCCCCTGCAGCCAGACACAGCCCCGTACCCCCTCATCTTACCTCAGCCCCAAGCAAAGGCAGGATTCTCCCCTGCCATCCCCATCAGGATGGTGCCTGGAGCATCCTTGGGGATCCCCAACCCTGGGGACCCCACTGGCCCCCCAGGACCTACCCGGCAGATGCAGGTGGTACAGTCGTCCCCATCCAGGCTGAACTGGGTGCCATGTGCGTAAGTGTGGCCCCGAAAACTGCACTTTGCTGGGGAGGAGTGAGGCAGCAGGGTTGGGGAGTGAAGCATGGTTCCTGCTGACCCCCCCACCCCAAAACCCCATTGCCAAGGGAGGGGGGGGCAGCCCAGAGGACCCACCTGGCTGGCAGGAGCAGCAGTCAGCTGGCGAGGCGCCGGGGCAAGAGCCCGGGGGGCACTCGGGGGTGATGCAGGAGACATTCCCAGCCTACGGAGGAGGGTCTGTGGCTGTAACGGGGCAGCCGAGGGGCGACACACCCCTTCCCCGATACCAGGGCATTATCCTGCCCCAGCACATCCCGCCTCATTGCCTCGAAGATAAATCCCAGGGATGTTCTTTTATGGGGGGGATGCTCCCAACCCGGGACGGCACGGGCTCACCAGGCAGACGCAGACGGTGCAGTTCCCATCAGATGGGGAAAAGACATCGCCCTCAGCCCGAGTCACCCCATCATGCAGGCAGCCTGCAAGTCAGAAGGGTTAAGGGGGGGCTGCCCCAGGGTGTTGGGGTTGTTGTGGGGAGTCTGGGGTTTACCTGTGCAACTGGGGCAGCAGCTCCCAGCTGGGGCAGGCAGTGGGTGGGAGCAGGACACAGGGCAGCTGACGGCCTCGCAGAGCACTCGCCCCCCCTGCAAGGGCACACACTGGCTCAGCCCAATGTCAGGCTGGTGTGGCAGGGAGAGGCGGGGGTAAGAAGGAGTGCTTACTTGGCAGGTGCAGCTCTGGCACCCCAACTCCGTCCAGCGAGCTCCGGGCTCCCGGGGAGCCCCCTGGTACCAACAGCGAGGGGCTGAGGGAGTGGAGGTACCAGGGGCTCCCACAGCATGTGGGGATGGTTCAGTGGTTGGGGTGGGAGAGGAGGAAGGGAGTTGGGTCCCGGGAGCTGCAGCAGGGAGGTGAGGTGAGGGGGAGCCCCTGGGGCCAAGGAGGGATCCCCCAGAGCCAGGAGGGAGAAGAACAAGGGTGGGCGGATGCTGCAGGGACTGGAGGATGGGTGATGGGGCCAGGATGGATTTGGGGTAGCCTAGGAAGGAAGGAACAGACAGCCCTTAGGGCAGGCAGGGAGCTGGAAGCATCCCACTCCACTCCCCTCTCTGGGCCTGGAGAAGGAGCCAGGTACCTTCGCAGGAGACCCTGTCGCCGCTGAGCCGGTAGCCGGGGCGGCAGGAGCAGAGGTAGCTGCCCGGCGTGTTGTGGCAGGAGTGTTGGCAAGCTCGGCGCTCTCCCGGCCGCCGGCATTCATTGACATCTGAGGGACACGGGGGCTCATTAGTACCTTGGGCAGGACGTGCTGCACCCCAGGAAATAGCTCAAGGGGGACCCCAGCGCACCGAGTTGTCCCCTCCAGCGTGGCCCACACAAGGATGGGGACAAGGCAGTGGCAGCAGGGCGATGGGCTCAATAGCCACCTCTGTCCCCTGGATTTCACAATGTGGGAAGGGATGAGGGGGCTGTCATGCAGTGCTCACCCACGCAGGAGTGCCGGTTGCCGTGGAGGTGGTAGCCGGGCCGGCAGGAGCAGCGGTAGCTGCCGATGCTGTTCTTGCAGCGGTGCTGGCACGGCGTGGCCAGGCACTCGTCTGTATCTGGTGGGGGCAAGAGGCTGAGGGTCAGGAGTCCTGGGTGGCCCCTGCTTGCCGCCCTGCTTGCCCCCACGCACCCTGGCAGCTGTGGCGGTCGGCGGACAGCTGCATGCCGGGGCCACACTCGCAGACAAAGCCGCCCTCGGTGTTGACGCAGAGACCTTCGCAGGCAGCACTCAGGCACTCGTCGATGTCTGGGGGGATGAGTGGGGAGAGCTGGAGATGGGGGGCCATCGCCACCTCTGGGATCCCCACACACACATTGGGACCTCCCCATCACAACTCACCAGTGCAGCGGACGCCGTTGTCCGTCTCCACCATGGAGAAGCCGAGGGGGCAGACGCGGGCCACCTCCTGGCACCCGCCGTGGTTACAGGAGAGGTCGCAGCCGTACTCCCCGCACGTCCCCGGCGGCTCTGAAACACGGACAGAGGGTCCGCAGGGCACCAACACCACCCCAGCACCCACCCAACCTCCCCGGACCCCACCCCGGGGACCGCACCCTGCCCCAGGAGCACCCCTACCCTTGCCAGGGACGGGGACCGCGCCAGGGGGTGCAGCAAGGAGCAACGTGCCCTGCTAGGAAAGGCCGGGGGTCCTGACTTTCGGCATGGCCAGGAGCAGGTGGGTACCTGGGCAGGTGATGCCCTGCTCTCCATCCGGGCATGAGCAGAGGTTGGGGGCGATGCACAAGCCACTGCCGCAGCCAAAGGAGCAAAGTGCTGCAGGGAGGGGGGAGACAGGCAGCAGTCAGGGGGGCAGGGACCCCCTCCCACCATGCATCCCCTCCCCGAGCCCGTTACTCACGCAGGGTGCACTGCCCGCTGCCCGGAGACAGCATCCACCCGGGGCAACATCCGCTGCCGAAGCCCGAGAAGCAGACGTGGGGCCCCACGCGGCGCCTGCGCCGGGGAGGAGAGGCTGAGGCCACCCTGCCCCGAGCCCCCAGGGCAGAGCGAAGGGCCTGGGGGAGCTCCTCACCCCCCCGCACCCCCCAGAACACAAGGAGGGGGGACACACACGGGAGCGGTCATGCTGTGCCCGTGGTGACCCCATCCCAGCAGAGCACAGCGTGGATCCAGGGAGAGGCAGACACAGGGCGAACTGGGGTGCAGCGTGACCCCAAAATAAGGTGGGACAGAGTGAGGGGATCACGCCCAGCTCACTGCGTGGTGACAGGGGAAGAATGTCCCCCAGCAGGACAACGGGGAGGAGGATATGGATGCTGAGGAGCAGGACCCCTTCGAGGGTCAGGCTCCCGTGATCCCAGTCAACCCCCCCGGGGGCAGAGGGAGGAACGCGGGGGGGTGCCAGCCCCTCCAGCTGGGATGGACACACGGCAGGAGCCCCAGGGGGGCAGCTGAGGGGGTGGATGGCCGGACCTCAGCAGGACACGGGGCAGATGGCCGGAGCTCAGCGTGGCACAGCACAACACGCTGCCATCCCCAGGTGTAGATGGGAGAAGGAGAAGGACAAAATAATAAAAAAAAAAAA